GCTCACGAAATCATGAAGTTTAACCTCTGTGAAATTATTTACCAAATGTGTCGAAATGACTAAAATGGTCAAAAATCATGGGCTATACCTATATTAATCGTGAATTTTTGTGATGGTAGAATTAATTAAAAATGGGTCAAAACGACTAAAAATAACTAAAAATCATGGGTTAAAGCTTAGGAAATTGTGATTTTGCCATTCACGAAATTATTTGACAGCGGGTCGAAGTGAGTGAAAATAGCCAAAATCATGGGTAATAACTAAAAATGGCTACAAATCATAGATCATAGCTTTTGTAGTATTTAATTTTCGTATCCATGAATTTATTTGAAAATGGGACAAAGTGACTAAAAATTGCCAAAAATTGTGGCTAACAGCTCATGAAATCATGAATTTTGGCCAACACAAAATTATTTGGCAATGGGACTACAACTAAAATGGCCAAAATCATGGATTACATAGCCCATAAAATCGTAAACATATTGCCTCCGCAAAATTATTTGGCAACAGATGAAAATGAATAAAAAAGTAATAGGCTATAGCTTACGAAATCCTAAATTGAGGGTTATAACACACGAAATCCTAAATTTTTTACCTCCTTGAAATTATTTGCCAACAGATGAAAACGAATAAAAAAGTAAAAAACCATGAGTTACAGACCACAAATCATGAATTTTGGATATTACAATTTAATTTTTTTTGCAAATGGCTAAAAATAACCAAAAAATTAGGAGTTATATCTCATAAAAACATGATTTTTTTAGTACGAAAAATTATTTGACAATAGGATGAAACGACTAAAAACGACCAAAAGTAATAAGCTATACCTTACGAAATCATGAATTTTTGCCATAGCAAAATAATTTGATAATGGGTCAAAAAGAGTGAAAATGGGCAAATATCATGGGTTATCGTTAAAAAATATTTAATTTTGGACTCCATGAAATTATTTGACTGTAGTTTGATATGACTAAAAATGATCCAAAATTGTGGATTATAGCTCTCAAAATTGTGAATTTTAACCTCCACCAAATTATTTGCGCATGGGTCAAAAAGACTAATAGTGGTTAAGAATCATGGATTATAGCTCACGATATTGTGAATTTTGGCTCTGTAAAATTATTTGATAGCGGGTCTAAACGACTAAAAACGTCCAAAAATTGTTGGTAATAGCTCATGAAATTGTGAATTAAGGCATCTGTAAATTATTTGCCTACAGGTCGAAATGATTAAAAATGGCAAACAATCATGAGTTGTAACTCACAAATTGTGAATATTCAATAATGCAAAAGTATTTGTCAATAGGTCAAAATGACTAAAAATGACAAAAAATTCGTGAGTGGAAATTATTTGCCAATAGTTTAAAATGAGAAAACACCAAAAAATCGTGGGTTATGACTCATGAAATCGTGAGTACTGGCCTCCACAAATTTTTTTCTCAATGGGTCGAAATGACTAGACATAGCCAAAAATTATGGGTTATAGTTCATTAAATCTTGATTTTGTCTAGTTGAAATTATTTGACAATAGGTCAAATCGACTAAAAATGGCCAGAATTCATGGGTTATTGCTCATGAAAACTTTAATTTTGGTTTCCACGAATTGATTTGCCAATGGGTTGAACGAATAAAAAAGGATGAAAATCGAGAATTATGACTGACAAAATCGTGAATTTTAACCTCTACAAAATTACTTGTCACTAGGCCGAAACAACTAGAAATGGCCAAAAAACATGGAATATAGTTCAAGAAGTCAAGACTTTTTATGGTGTTTTTATTTGACAACAGGTCAAAATGAATAAAAATAGACAAAAACCATGGATTATAGCTTGTAAAATATTTATTTTTGGCCTTCGAGAATTTTTTTTGACAACTTGACGAAATGACTAAAAATGAGCAAAAATTATGGGTTATAGCTCACAAAATCATGAATTTTGGCCTCCATGAAATTATTTACTCACAGGTGGAAACAACTAAAAATGGATAAAAATTATAGGTTATTAGCTCATAAAATCGTGAATTTTGGCTCAGTAAAATTAGTTGACACCGGGCCGTAAAGACTAAAAATGGCAAAAAAACATTGGTAATAGCTAATGAAATTATAAATTTTGGCCTCCGCCAAACTATTTGCCAACATGTTGAAATGATTAAAAAAGGTAAAAATCATGAATTAGACCACAAATTTGAGAATTTTGGATAACGCGAAATTATTTGTCGATGAGTCAAAACGATAAAAAATGGCCAAAAAATGTTAATTTCCTCTCTAAGAAATTATTTGCCAATGGGTTGAAATGACCAAAAAGAGTCATAAATCATAAGGTTATTGCTCATGAAATCGTGAGTTATGGCCTCCACAAAATTATTTGGCAACGGGTCGAAAAGACTAAAATAGCCAAAAATCGTGGATTGTAGCTCACAAAATCGTAACTTTGGCCCTAGTGAATTATTTGACAACGGGTCGAAATGACTAAAAATGGCCAAAGTTCATGGGTTATTTGCTCATGAAACGTTAAATTTGGTCTCTGTAAATTTATTTCTCAATAGGTTGAAATGAGTTAAAAAGGGCCAAAATCGTGGGTTATACCTCATGAAATTATAAGTTCTGCCCTAGGAAAAATTATTTGTTAATGGATCAAAGCGACTAGATATTGACAAAAATCATGGGTTATAGCTCATAAAATCGTAAGTTTTTGTCTCGTTGAATTTATTTGACAATGGGTCGAATCAACTAAAAATGACAAAAATTCATGGGTTATTGCTCATGAAAGCTTTAATTTCAAAATTAAAGATTCAAAATTAAAGATTTCATGAACCATAACTCATGATTTTTGTGCATTTCTATTTGTTTCAACCCAATGGAAAATAAAATTAGTAGAGTTCAAAATTCACAATTTCATGAGCTATAACCCATAGTTTTTTTTTCATCTTTGTTTGTTTCACCTAATGGGAAATACTTTTGATCATTCAAAATTTCACGATTTCTTGAGCTAGAAGCCACAATTTTTCCCATTTTTATTAATTTCAACAAAATAACAAATAATCAAGCAAAGTTCAAACTTCACGATTTTCTTGAGCTATAAGCATACATAATCCGTGGATTTTGTTTCATTTTTTTCGTTTCGACCAAATAGCAAATATTTATACAGAATTAAAAATTCATGATTTTATGAGCTAGAAGCCACCATTTTGAATGTTCCAACTCATTGTCGATTAATTTTGCAAAATTTAAAATTCACAATTTCACGAATTGTAAGCCACGTTTTGTCCATTTTCATTGGGTTGGACCTAATAGCAAATAATATGTTCATTCAAAATTCATGATTTCAAAAGTTATAATCCACGATTTTTATCTATTTTTCTTTTTTTACCCAATGACAAAAGATTATGCGAAACTCAAAATTCATGATTTTATAAGCTATACACCATGATTTTTATCCATTTTCGTACTTTTCGACCCAATGAAAATAATAATGCGAAATCAAGAATTCCTAATTTCATGAGTCAGAAGCCACATTTTTTTATCCATTTTCATACATTACCCCCTTATGGAAAATAATTATGTGAAATTTAAAATTTAAGATTTCATAAGCTATAAACTACAATTTTCTTTTTTCTATTTCATCTAAATGGTTAATAATTATGTTTAATAATTTTGTTCATTCAAAACAAACTATGAAAACCACGATGCTAGAAGTGGACTTAATAACTATTTGGTCGAAAATAAAAAGGCAAAAGTTATCATGTATAACTTATAAAAAAACACAAATACATGAATATCATAAAATTTAAAGTACATAATTAATTGTCATTCGATCAATGGGTTATTGATCATCAAAATTGAGAATCTTGATGTTCACATACTTAATTACTATTTGATCAAAACTAACGAAAATGGATAAATAATTGTGAGTAGGCTACGGTAATCGTGATTTTTAACTACCCCTAATTAACGGCTATTGGATAGAAACGAAATAAATGATTAAAATTCATGAATCTTTTAAGTATGTGTTTGTAATTACCCAAAGGCGAAACGAACAAGATAAACAAAAATGACAAGTTTAAAAAACCCATGAAATCACAAATATAGAAGTACATGTATATCTAGTCGTCATTAAACCAAAACAAATAAAAATAAAAAAAAAATCACGAGTTATTAGCTCATAAAAATCACAAGTTTTAAAATGTGTATACTAGTAGTTTCGGGGTCGAAGGCAACAAAAAACCCAACAAAAAAAAATAATGAATTATAAAGAACATGAAATTCATAAATTCTAAGATAAAACACGCTTAATGCTCATCAAATTGAAACCAACAAATAAATATGGCGACTTCCGGTCAAGAAAATTGCAAATTTAAAGGGAAACTTCGGTTGGGATCCGTTCAACATGCATTAATCATATTAAAACCCAGCCTTACCTAGCATTTAAGCAAACAAAAAGCACTGCAAATAGATGAACAGGAACCACGCCCAAGTTGAAGTAGTATCAAACACTGTTAGAGCATCTCCAACAGCTTCTCCAAAATTTTCTCCAAAATGGGGAAGCAAAAGTCATATTCTCCAACTAATTTTTACACCAACTCCAACAGCTTCCCCATTTTGAAGAATCCATTTTTTCCTCCAAAAATTTGGAGAATGCTGCAGATTTGGGGAAGCTTCCCCATTTTTTCTCCTTCATCCCTATTTTGGGGAATGAGATGGGGAATCTGTTGGGCCAAAAACCTAACTAAATTCTCCAAAAGTGAGAAATGGGGAAGCTGTTGGAGATGCTCTTAACAAAAGAAACAGTCGCAAGAGAAATAAGTCCATGGATCGCATATCCCGGTGCACTTTGAAGGCTTAAACAGTTAAAACTCATGCAAAGCACCATTTCCTACGGGTCCACAGATCCCCAACCAAACTAAACCCAGATCCGATATCTGGTAGAATAATGGAAATCCATAATATGCGAGTCAAAAGAATACTACATGGGGTAAAAAAAACCTGCATTGTCAAATAGCATATACCACCAAGACGCTTCATAGAATGAAAATTCAAACAAGGGACCAAAAGCAAGGACTAACAAATTTGTCAAATAGCTTCTTAGAGAACTCCCAACAGAAACGCTACTATGGACAGCAATACTCCACTTCAGAAAATAACACAACATAAAATTTAACAAAAACAGGTCCAGGTAATTCTTTTCAAGATGAAATTGAAGGTTTAGACTGATAGTACACAAACAAAAACAACCCCGATATCTCGCTTTCTCTAATTGCTGCTTAGAACACCCGGAAAGGCTTTCCCATCGTGCTCTTCAAGTATAAGCAACGGACCTGTTGATGCAACATAAAATGAAAAAAGGATCGATCATTGTAGACAGAAATCAAGAAAAAGATCATCAAAAATTCGCAGATGGGGAGCCGATATTATATAAATTAACAATAGCATTACTTGAAGGATTTTGTACAGTTGCATTCAAAAACTACAGTATATCTGATCATGACCCATTGAAATGGTAAAAGGATGTTTGTCACAGGATATGCCGAGATGGACGATAACTTCTTCAAGGAAGCTACAAAATTCTTGACAGAAAGCAACTAAAATGCAACATATCAACTTGTTGACACTAAACTCATGATTACTCATGCAATAGAGAAGTATCACAGACGAGCGAGAAATGAAAGAAACGAGATGTTATTATAAATGAATGAACAAATGCAACAGAAAATATAGAGAAAAATTAAGGCCACTTTCATAAACCACTAGGCATGTACCTCCTTATCAAGCAGATAGCATTAGAAATTATAAGTCAATCAATATAAAACTAACATTTAAAATCCTAGGTATTCAATGGCATAAGCAGCCAAGCATTTTAGAAAAGTAAATTTAGCTACTTCTTCTCCAAGAGAAAATAACAATACAGTTCTTTCTTGGGCAGCAAACATAAATCGGTATTCAGAGGGCAGGACAACTTACATTTTGCCAATTCTTCTTCAGCAAAGAAACCAGGAAGTTGACACTGAGTTGCACATTCTGGAAGATTTGCTTCTCCTCCATCCCACAGTTTCCAACAGCAACACCCATGCAAAGAACTTTCTTGAGCTGAAACTTAACCATGGCTTTGGTTTCATTAACTTTGGATTCCAAGGATTCCTGATGGGACACTAATGTAGGGAACTTTCCTGCATAACAAAAACCACATTCACAGTGAGAAATGTTTCCAGATGAAAAGATATTCCAGCAAAGATTAGATAAAAAATTCAGTGTGCATGTCATGTATAGGTAATGAGTAACAGCATATCACTACCGTTAATCTGATTGTACATGCCATAAGAATAAATAGGACTATGCAAAATCATATTCAATTAGCTTTCTTACTTCTCAAAAAACAGTAACCAACACGGCAAGCTATCAAAACAGCAACCAAACAGATCGAGTCAAACTTAGTAGAATCGTTTACAAGTCCAATTATGGCCAATCAAAACTGATAAGTTGCAAACTAACATGAATCGCATTCAAGTACCTACGCAAAATAGTACTTGTGCAATCAAGTTGATTTGTTATTCAAATTTACAAACCTGACCCGTATAGTACTTTTTGAAGCAAAATTTTAACCTCTTGAATTTGGCTGAAACAAAGTGTTACTATATTAAGCTGAGTCATTACATGTCTTTTTTTTAAGCAAATAGGGAAATACCTTGATATGCCTAAACAAATAAAATATAAATTTGTTTTTCTGTGTTTCAAAAACTTGATCCAGATTTATACTACACATACAGAAAGCTTGATTTCTGTTTTTTCCGGAATATATCCCTTGTCAGTTACAAAGCACAACTCTGCGGCAAATAAGTGAGAAAACCGACTTGCTCTGCTGAACTATCTATGAACATATGCTACCATCTCATTTAGAAAAATGAACTGCCAAAATACGAGTGGGGTGAATCACTTGCTCTACTGATCTATCTCTTAGTAGCTCATTTAACAAAATGAGCTGCAGCCTCATGCCAATTTTACCAGCTACCACCTAATGCCCACTTTTATCTATAGTGGCAACTCAAATCAAATATTCGAACCCGCCCCCACCTCACCCCCCACCCCCCAAAAAAAAAATCCAAAAAAACACCCACACACATGCACACGTGGGCGCGCACACACTCTCCTACTACATACATATATACATGCATAGAAATATATACACCTACAATACATGGGCAAATTGACTAGAAGAAATGGAATCAACCCTTGAGTTTCAACAAGCAACTAACATAATAAGCAATTCCACCATCTCTGTCTATTTACCTATAGGGTTGAGCTCACCTATGCGCCTAGGCACGCGCGCACAATGTACTACCTACATATATTCAAGTACATATATATACAAATACATATACATAGAAAGTGAATTAACTCGGGCGTAGAGATGGAATCAATGCCTAAATTTCAACGGGCAACTTACATAATAACCAACTACATGCTATGATAAATAGGAAACTGCTTACAATGTAATGTTTAAATAAGCCCAAAGTGTTGCAATCAAATCCATCAAGACAGATTAACAAGTAATCATTGTTCTATGACACCAAATTTAATCTCACAGAGTAATCATGATCCTTACGAAGTTTTTCAGCATTTGAAGTTAATTTACATATATTCAAGTCCGTGAACATGTTTGAAGTCTAAAGTTTGAATTTTGACATCAACAAATTTTTCTCGTCATAAAGAAAACTAATTATCCTATTAACTAATTATCCTATTAACAATACATTTAAAAACACACAGTAACAGCCTTGTTGACACATACCGTTTGATTTCACATTGAGTAATTTTAGATAAAAGAAGAATATTGTAAATGAAAGAAAGAACAGTAGACAGTGCTTATTTGATGGTAATCACGAGCTAAAAACAAGGAACTAGTTGTTTATGCAGCTGCTTATCTTCGCCTAATTCCCTACTCAGACCTTTCTAGCATTACTTAAAAGAAAAAAAAAGTAAAGGGAGCGCAGAAGAACTATGCAACAAAAGAAAAATCATGCAAAATTACCACTATCAAAACATAATTAATTCTATAGAGATAACAGCACAGGGTCCTTGCCTGCCTTGTTAAGACCAGGCCCTAGGAGACGAGGAATCTGCTTAATGACAGCTTCTGACGCAAGGAAAGCATGATACTTCTTTGCCAACTTCTTGACAAGCTTCTTGTTCTTGTTCATCTTCTTCAGCGCTTCAACATCCATCGATTCAAGTCCAATCCTGTTTGCCTGCATAAAACAATAGCACAGCTTACCTCCAAATCCCCAGCATCTCAACATTCATACAAATTTTATCAACAAAAATATTCAAACGCTGGACATCTATTGAACGGAAATCAATATTATCAAATACAGAATTAAATTGCATAAAGGCTAGTTGCATGTGTGCGGGTACAGGACATGGTAAATTTATAAAAAGTAGGGTACGGGGACAGGTCTATATAAATATTTATATACACATATATTATATATTGGAATAAATAATTTATATGACAACAAGGATGAGAATTCAATTTCGTATAACATTTAATGTCTCTTTTATAATATGGATTATAAATTTGGAACATCAATAGTTTTTGAACTAGACATCCAAACGACCCTTCAAATTATAATTTCAAACCTAACCTATGTTCAACAACTATCAAGAAATGGATGTGAAGTGTAGGATATATGTCCAACAGATGTATGAATTTTTTTTTTAAATTAAAGCATGTATTGTATAATTGAGTACAGACCCAAATAAATGTATACATATATGTAAGGGAGTGCCCAAGGAGTTGAAGTAAACCCAAGGAGAGGGTGGAAAGCGTCGGGGTGAATGTACTTAAGTGTGTTTGGATAGACAATAATGGGATGGGATGGTACGCTATAATGTGTTTATTTAAAAGAAAAACAGAATGGAAGCTACTTGACCATTATGCCCTTCTAATAAAATAACACTTTTATTAATTATGAGTTTTGGTTTCTCTAGGGTAATCTTGGTATTTCAATAAAATTTCACTTACAATCACAGTTGCGCGATTCCGTGGACCCCCCTTGAATTGTCGAACAGTTCATGCGAACCGATTCCCAATACATTTACGAACCGAATCCCTCTGATACACAAATTGGTTCCCCAAAATTAGCGTACTGCTTACTAAGTATGAGGGGACCAAAGTTGATTTACAAATATGTTTTCATGCACATGGCTTGGATCGTTTTCATATGTTTGATAATATTACCGAAAGTATTCTTTCAGTAAGTGGAAGTTATCCAAAGTTAATACCTAATTTTAGATCACTATTTCTTTAACTGATGTTGCTAAGAAGATTGTCTCACCTATTAGTAGCTCATCAGCTGAGAGAAATTGGAGTACTCATTTCTACATGCGTAGTGTAAAAATGAATAGATTGAACAGTGGAAGGGTGGATAAGTTAGTATTTCATGATTCATCCAATCAAATATTAGCATCCTGTCACGATTTTGTGAGAATTACAAAGTTGGTCCGTATAAATAATGGGATATTGATCCAATACCGATAACTTGGAGGACTCTTCAAGTAAGTTGGAAGAGCTTAAATGGAATTGTTTGGACTCGGAATTGGCAGAAGTTGCACTTGATGTTAAGGGGGATGAAAGTTGCAAAATAGAAAAAATTTATTAACATGCTTTCTAATATTTAATATTTTAAATTTTATATATTCAAAAACTATAAAATAAAGTATTATATATAAAAAAATATTAAAATACATAATTAGTTTTCTAGTTTCTAATTTTCTACTATACACTTTGAAAAATGATAAGCGTACCCAAAAAAATTACATCGTATCCTATATCGAACTAGCTTATCGAAGCAAGCTACCCTATCGAATCCAAAATTCCAAAGTTTTGAATTGTGTACCCGAATTCGTACGACGACCCCTTACGTACTGCGAAGATTATCGATAGCGGATAGCGTCGCGTAACGGTGAGGCATCGCTAAGGCTATTTCGGGCTATTGCGACAAAATAACGGTCAAAATCGCAAAGTCAAATAGCGGTCTAATTTAGATATATATAAATACTAAAAAAATTAAAAAATAATCTAAAAAAATCTAAAAGTACATATTTGATGATTTAAAGAGATCCTAAACATAAAATAGACATGTAACCATCACGTAATACCGAAGATGACTAGAGGAGTCAAAAAATCATCGTCTTCGAGAAGAAGAGCTTAGCGGTGACAATACTGCTCTAAGAGGAGCTCACGGTGAAAGAGGTGAGAGGAAGTACCCAGGTAGGTGCCAGAGGCTATGAGAGGTGACAGGAGTATGTTAAAAATCACAGGAGACGGTGAAATGCAATGGTCAAGGGTTGAGATTAATTTTAAAAAATAAGCCTCAAACCGCTTTTAAATAGCAGTCAAAAAGAAAATTACAAATTCCAAATGCAATCGCTCACTATTTATCATTATGACACACTATTGGCCGTTTTTGCGAACAGACATATTCCACAATATGTCACCGCTATTGCGCGATAGCGTAGCGGACGATAGCGTCATGAGAAGGGACCGCTAACGCTATTAGCGCCGCTATTGTGGGGCTATTTATAATAGTGTTGCGAACCATGTAACTATGCTTACAATCCCTCCCCTCTCCTCCACTTGCTAACTAAAATGTGTAAACAAATATAGTTTTTGGGGGGTTTACATTGTACACCTCCCCCCCCCAAAAAAAAAAAACCCACCCAAAAAACCCCTCCTGAAATACTTTATCCAAGCCCAAAGGTAAAAGTAGAAGAGATTTCAATCAAGCTTCATTCTACAACTAAAAACAAACAGTATACTCAGACGCCCATTTCTCTAAAGTCACATTTTTTTACTATACTTTATATAGAAACAATCCAAATCAGTTCAAATAAAAAATTGCACTAAGTAACGTGTATCATCATAGAACTATACATAACCAAACAAATATACCTCTTCAACATGCTGAGCATCTCCAAGCATGCAAACCTTCATCTTGGGCCTCGGAATATGCGGCAGCTTAACAGACCCACTGAAACGCTTATCCTTCTGAGGATCATAATTCTTGAGCCCAATCTGAAGCTCAATAGTCTCCGTAAAATTACGCTTCTTCTCACGAGCATCACCCATAATCTTAGAGATACCCTCTCTCAAAACATCACTCTGCAACTTACTGCAAAGAGACAAAACAAAATTGGGGGCTTTCAAATAATATCCTAATTTCTCCAGTTTCTTCGAATTTAACCCATAATTCTTCATAAACTAAATATTATAGCTCGAAATGAAGTCTATATTGAAATAAAAACTTTAAATTTAATGAAAAAATCATCCGCCAAAATCGAAATCAAACCCTAAATGATTGGGATAAGGATCTAATACCTCATGATTCAAGCGATTACTTGTTCCCTGGCTTCAAAATGAAGAAAAAGAACAATCAGCAAATAGAAAAATGTATTTAATTGGACAAAATAAAACTTTAGAGGAAAAAAATTCGATCTTTGATGCGAAGATGAGTTACCTCAAAGAAGGGAATGGCGAAAGAGAGGCGGCTTCGTCTGCGGTTTTCTACTTTAAAATGTATAAACCCTAGCGAGGAGAAAGTACGATTGTACCCTTCGAAATTTCACGATAATATCGAATATGCCCGTTTTACCCGACCCGAAACCTATTCCGTAGCCGTCGGCTTCATCGTGAAGCCCAATAGTCACTAATACGCATTTTGTTGGCCCATATATAATATGGGCTTCATTATACAAGCAACGCACATCTGCGCAATCTCACATCTGTACATTAGTTTGAGATTTTCTTTTCTTTTTTTCACATTTTTCCTTTTTCTTTTTCTTTTTTTTTCTTTTTTTTTTTTTGAGAGAATATTAATATGAAAACTTTGGATAACTGAGGGTTTTATTTTCAGACAATAACATGATTTGTTGAACGCAAAATTGTTGTATACTCTTGATGGAGGATTAGGGGGTGTTTGTTTCAAATTTTATAATTTTAGGATATAGAGTTCACCATGAAATTTGAAATCTATAGGTGTTTTGTATGTGTTGGGATTTCTAAAATACTGTTTGTTTCATTAATATGTTGGAATTTGGAATACTACAATTTTTAATATTTTGTTTGTTTCAAGCTCAAATTGTAGCATTACCAAATGCTAAAATTTTATAATATGATGAATATGCTATCTTGGTGAGATTACCTCACACAAAAAGGCAAAATTAAGATTTGTCAAATCCTCTCCAATTGAGAGCACAGCCATTTATAGGATTTGTCAAAATCCTCTCCAATTTAGAGGATTTGACAAATTCTAAAAATTAGGCATTTTTTGCACTTTTGGGATTCAATATTCTAAAATTTTTCTTAAAACAAACATCATATATGAAATCCCAAAATACAAAAAAAAACTCACTTTTTGATCCCAAAACTTATAATCCATACCAAGTGCCAAAATTTTTGGTGAAACAAACACCCCCTTAAGCTTCTTGTGCTGAATTCCAACGTTCTGTTAGAGTTTTGTATATTTTTGCAGAGAAGGCAGTAGAACTCCGTACTTTGTCGCAAATCTTTAATCTTTCAAAATTTTAGCAATTACCAACGAAAGCTGTACACATTTATTGGCCAAAACTCATTCCAACTTCAAGGCCAAATCACTGCAAATCTGAAAAGCTAAGGGGCTGTTTGGTTGTTGTTGGTAAAGTTGTGTATTTATGACACAACTTGGAAAGTTGTTGTCCACCTCATCAATTTTACTTTTATATTTTTCTTTGTTTGTTTTTTATTCCATTGGAATCATAAATTGCTTGTTTGGTTTGTAAATGTAACTTTAATTGTTTGTTTGGAAAGTATAAAAAATGATCCCTACTCAAATGATCATATTGGTTGAAATTATTTTTTATTATTTTTTCCTGACTTCAATGTCAGCTTTCTCCTAAAATCATGTTTTTTTTTATGAAATCACTCTACAAACTACATCAGCATATGAAATCACTTTACACTATTTTCATAACTACCAACAAACAATTGAAAGTGATGAAAGCTAACATTGGGACCCACTTTTTTACACTTTCCATCCTTTTACATGGTAAAAACATACAACCAAACAGCCACTAAACTGCTGAAACAAAGTTGCTACAAAAAAAAAAAGTTTACATTTGTAGCTACATAAGAATGAACATGTAGAAATCCTTCCGCGTCATCTATTGACGTAAACCAGCTCAAAGTTACAACACATTCACTCTAAGGCAGCGCAATTTACATACAGTAAAAACTTCCCGTCAAACAATTTTCGTCGATCAAACCAAATAAACTCTATAAATTAAATTGTGCTCTGCCGTCCTAACCGTGACTGAAGCCAAGTGTTATAAAACCAGAAAATTTATATACATCAATGGATAAACATAGTGTACAAAAGCAACAAGAAACCCATTGAGGCAACTATATTCCGCATCTCTATTCACGACTGCATCATACATTCTCCTTGTTCTTTAATCAGATGGCGGCATCAACAGATTCTTTGAGATTTGGCTGTTTTGAAAAGAAAATTAACTTCTTAGACAAAAACTTCACAACATTAAATTCTCAAAAAAAAACGTTAACGTGCTATATTAGAAAAGTCTACATAAACAAGCACTCAGTGACAAAAAGTTGAAAACCAAATCAAACAACAAGTCATCTACTGTATATATGTTTATATTGTGGGAGAGAGATCAAGTGTTATGTACCATGTTTATATTGATAGCCTAACATGTCATCTACTGTATATATGTTGCAGTGCAAAAAAAAATGAGCGTCTTTATAAACACATGTATTTGGTGACTCATTTAAGTACTTCTTTTTCACTTGTGTAGCAGAAATAAGAATATTTTGATGGATTTGTGCATATAAACTAAATGATAGGATAACACATGAGTGTACTTGTCGAAGGTTGGAGGTTGCCCCTTTTTGAGGATAAAATGAGAGAAAATCGATTGAGATGGTTTGGCCATACAACGGAGAGCACAAAATGCAGCAATTAGGAGAGATGATAAGATTGTAATTAGTTTTGATAGAGGTTAACTAAATGGATACAATAGCAGTTAACCAAATGGAGAAGTAGCCCCAACTAGAACTGAATGAAAGAATCAGTTAGGGTTCACATAACGGACCCCAAAAATTTGGGATGACGGTTTTGTTGCTGCTGCAGTTCCTTTCAACAGTAATATTTCAATCTTTTTTCTACTGAATCTTTAATTTCAACTTATCACTAATATGTTGGAAAAGATTACTGTAAAACATAAAGTGCTGTTCTAATATGTTCTATGATATAAAATAGTGGCAACTAAAGAAATAAGGCATACCTTTGCTTTTACTCACAAGCAATTTTGGTATCGAAACTACTGAGGCAGATAGCAAATGCCTGGAAAGCCGATATAGGATACTGAAAGTCCATTGTAAACAAGTCCTTTCCAACTTTTCCAAATTGAAGAATAACCTTATCTTGCTCTTGGCCAGTTGCTCCATTTTCCTCCGAAGCCACCAGCTGAAAATTCTTTACAGATGCGACCGTCACTCTTCCTCTAAAATTCAGACACCAGCATTGTAACTGCTCATGCCACCTTGGAGCTTTGTTCTTCAACACTAAGATTCCCTCCTCCAGACCAGAAAGAGACCCAGAGGTGCTTTGTGACCGAGATGATTTTGATCTGAAGAATGGCATAGATGAAAAGGAGTCGAGGCTGTTGATAAGGAACTCGGCCTGAGTAGGTGCTGTTCCTCCGGGTTCAATTGCTGAGGCTGGGATAGAGTTCATGATACACTGCATTCTCCTAGGACCTCTGCTGATCACATATTATATATGAGAACAAGATAAACTATATTTGATCAAAATTTGTTAAGTAACAGAGGTCTTACAGATAATTATGTGCCATAACATGCTCAGTAACATGGCAGTATGGCACAATTTTGGATATACTACCATAAACATTAAGTCATAAAAACAAACGGATAATAGACATGGGTAACAGGGTCAACCATATTTGATCATTTTTTGTAACTGATACAGCTATTGCACGTAATAACATGCTCGGGTACATTGTACTATGATACAATTTTTCGAACTACTACCATAACCATGAATCACAAAAACAAACATGCTATTCACAGGAGATTACGTACAAAGAGGACAGGAGAGGGCACTAATTATTATGTATTTTCTGTCATTTATTGAAAGTATTATTTCAGAAACATGAATACAGGAGTCAAATCCTCCTCAAAGACATTGCTTTTTGTAAGAATAGCAGGTTTAGTGAGTAAATTGAGGCGAAAAAAAATAAGAGAGTAACCTTTATTTCAAGTGCAATTATCATATTAACTGTGAGGCAAAACCATGCTGAAGGATATGGTTTTTTGTCCACAAAGTTAGAAGGTTCAGGTATTTTAAACAGTGCAGATGGTGCCTTCCAACACCCACACCAGCAACATGAACGACCATAATTGGCAAAATTATAAATGAGCAAATCTCCAATGACATTTAGATGAAATGCAATAGTTAACATGGAGATTTCACTAGCTCAGCCACACCTAAATCTTTGGCATTGGACTCATGCAGATCTTCTCTACTGTCAAAGGGAAAACTTTGATGTGATGTGATGTGATTATATAGTAATCCATGGAACCTGGATTATAGCTCACTTTCCAATGTGAAGATGTTTGATCTTCAAATCAAGACCCATAATTTCCTGTAATCTCAGAAACATGATTGATTCAACGAATAGTTTGATTAAGGCAAATATTCTCGCTAACAGATGTAATACACACACATGCATACGCACAAGGCAAAGAATATCCAAGAACAATCCTAAAATAGAAAGAAAAATTATGTAGATGACTATTAATTTATATTCAGGTTTAAGAATTATGTTTCGATACCACACAGAGAATGAAATAGGTTATTAATACCAGTACTTTCCAGAAAGATATGAACAAATAAGCAATAAGAACATCAAAAGTTTATATATATAAAATTAAATAAATAAACACTTGCTGATAGTCTCATCAAAGATTTGTCCTTCTCACCTGGAACCTAAGACATTCAACTCATAAGAAATGTGGGCAACTGGGTAGTTCCCAGCAGGAACTCTTGGAGAGACTTGTCTCGAACTTACTAGACGAGTGGAGCAACTTTTTGCAATAACAGCCCCAGCATATGGAGGCTGAGCATCGTATACTGTAAATTTGGTGCCCAACAAGTTTGATCTGTTCAGTTTAAAAAATGTTAGAATATCATCAAAGGGTTATTAAGGCCAGACAAAATTAATTCCTGAAACAAAGTTCTTTCACTAAAGGCTAAAGCAACCAATTCTTGTCAACGTATAAATCTTCACAATCAATTTTCATAACGAAATCATTTAATTCACTTAGAAATGTCATTTTTTTATGCCGATTACATAGATTATTTTCCTCCAGTAATTAGTTTTCATATTTTCCCGAACTCATGGATTTCTATAGTAGACAGTTGATACCAAACCTTAAATTTTAAATTTTGAACTAAAAAGTTTGTCTTCAGGAAGAGATACACAATTTGAAGGCAGATCATGTTCGCTACAAGTCTTGAATTTAATTGTTAGATTTCAGAATCTTCTTTCAACTTAACAGGTATTATTTTCCCAATACTTACAGGAAACTATTTCCCACAGTTGGCATAAAATCCCAACATATGATGCATGCCATAAGAAACACAAATAGGTGGGTGCCTTTAAGGATCACAAACAATAAGAAAATATTGGAGCTGAGCATACCGCAGCTTTCCAATGTAAGTACCACTTCCCTTCGATATGTCATCTGCATCTAGTGAGATGATATAGTCCGTACAAGTAGCTCTTCGGCACTTACGTGCAGCAAGAAGAAATTTGCCATCATCCGTCAGTGCTGCAAAGAGTAATTAAACAGTTAAATAACACGAAAAGGGATATGATGTCACCACCTTTGACATATATTAAATCTAAACAGACATCTGGCTTAAACAAAAGGAAATCATGTAGATATGGCAGTAAATTATTAGAAGGTAAGACATCTGGCTTAAACAGACATGAGAATAGACATGGTCACTACCATAAACACATTACAAGCATTACAAAACAAGCTCTGGAATATATTAATGAAATGCCAGTAAAGAACTAGGGATATCGCATTAGAAAATACACTGGTGACTTCACAAGCTTATTCCCTAGGAGATATCATTCTTATATGCATCATAGAATAAGGTATACGATATACATTCAGGCTTGGGATTATTTCACTTATATTAAAAAAATTAGTGAAGGTAATCATATTTATCAAGTCTGCACAAAATGAAGCTAACAAATGGAAACCCTAAAGGAGCCTGCAACAAGTGGATTCACAAGAAATTAAGCAACCTCCTCATTCAAGCCCTGAGTTGCATAGGTAGGGGTGCAAAATGGTCCGGATATATCTGGACCGACCGCAACCGTATCCGTTTACAAAGCGGATATGGTTGGGAAAAATTGAAACCAGTAGGATATGGTTTCAGATACGGTTATGGTTTTGATTTTTTTTATCTGGATACGGTTTCGGATATGGTTTTCGGGTAGAAATTCGGATACGGTTCGGATATCCGGATATTTAAAATGTGCTAAAAGAACTAAGTTTCTAATACTTACATAGTTATATTGGGTTGGGTCTATAACATATACTCAACCCGACCCGTATTCAATTCATTCAAAGAAATAAGTCCATATAGCTTTTTCATTTTCACGATCTCCTCAAACCTCTTTTTTTCCCAAGGGTGTTGTTGCTTCCTAACTCCACCTCCAAGCTTCGGCTTCCGCTCCACCTCCAAGCTCCGGTTCCCCTCCCCCCCACCTCAGCCCCCCCTCCGGCTCCGCCTTGGCCAACGGTTCCCCTCCACCTCCACCTCATCTCTATTCCGCTGTTCAAGAAGTCTGCCTTGTCCTCTTCTTCATTGACGACCATCAACGCCAACCTCCTCTTCTTCTTCTAAGATTCTCCTCCTCAATTTCGTATATCTCGAAGGTGAATTCAAAACCCTAATTGATTGATGTCCTAATTTTTTTGTTTAATAAAAACCCTAATTTCTAGCCCTAATTTGTTTGATAAAAAAGCCCTAAATTATTAGCCCTAATTATTTTTAGTTTTATTTTATTTTATTTTATTTATTATGATTGCAATTTGTATCATTTTTTTTGCTTGATTAAGTTTGTAAATTTTATTGAATAGATATTAGTATCATGTCGTCCAATCCATATTTATGTGAAAGGATTAGGATGAAGTTCTTCTAAATTAAGGCAGGAGCATGAAAGCCATCCAAGTAGTGGAAAGCCAAGCCGAGCTACTTAATATAAAAGTATGTCGTAGTTTAGATGAGTTATTCATTACTCTAAATTTTACTGTATTACTATTATCTGCATAAATATGGGAATGTATCTAACTTGTAGGCTTCTACTTTCAGAAAGGAGAACGGATGCTAATTTATGAGTTCATGCCTAATGGAACTCCGAGGGAATAATTATTAGGTTTTGCTCTTAAATAACAAAAATCATATATTCTTCTCTCTTCACTTTGCCTACACTAAAAAATTTCTTTTCTTTTTTTTATAGATTTTGGGCTCTCCAAGCTAGTATCGGACAGCGAAAGAGGTCAATAAACTACTCAGGTCAAGGAGACGGTGAGTATTTATGTATTTATGTATAGTTACATACTTATTTTCCTAACTTCTATTTTGTGGCATGAATCTGTGTAGATTTGTTTTTTTTTTTTGCTTGCAAGTATATTAATTTTTACTCATATTTGCGAGTTATTAAAATCATACGTATTTTTTGTCATATCCTATTCATATCCATTTCCTAAATATATGATTAATATTTGTATCATATCCGTATCCGATTCTTCAATATCTGAACCGTATCCACTTCCACTTAATGCGGATACGGTAATGTTTTTTTCTTACCGATGAATATCCAAACCGTATTTGTATCCGTTTTTAGAAAGTGGATATGGATATGGTAAGTATCATATCTGATACCGTATCTAAACCGAATGCACCCCTATGCATGGGTATGGGTACACGTATGCGGATGGATACAGGACAGTAAACGTGTAAAAGGTAGGATACGGGAGCACGACTATATTTTTATCATATTATGTATATTTATATGTATTAAAAGATCAATATTGCTTTTTCATTTATGTAGGATCAATATATAAGAAATAGATGTGAAGTGTAGGATATACATCCAAGCAGTGTACGAGGGGTGTTTTAAATTAAAACAGGTATTATATAATTGAGTATACGCCTGAATAAACATATGTATATGTTCAAGAAGTGTCCGAGAAGTTTTGGCTTGGGTGTGTATCGGTATGGCTTCCGATAGAAGTACCAGGGAACTTAGTTCAAGTCTAATTTCATTTGCTACTCTACCTTTTCTTCTTCGATCAATTGTTTACACAATACATAAAACGAGTAAGAGATAATCTTGTCAGACATCCTTCTCTCAGGAAATTTTTGCTTTCCATACATGATCAATCACACCCACAAATACCAAGGAAATCATAGCCTCTACCAGCGCCAACGTAGCACCCAAGCATACCTTGAGTTAAACCGAGGTAAAGACTGTACGTATGGTTCGTCCGGTTCCTTCTAATGAAACACTGCATAGGAAAATCCCTCGGTCCCGGCTGCAAATTCATATAACAAAAAAAAATAAATCCAATAATACAAAGCATATGCAAATAAATCGAACATAATTCCCTATAGGAATGCTCAAGAGTTGCTTCTAGCTTAAACTAAATGATAGCATCAACCCATCTATTAAAATGAGACCTTTTCAATAATAATCACAATAATTCACAAATACAAGCAAAACCTATACCTGCTTCAAAGAGATTGGGAACGTAATTCTCCCCTCAAACTCAGGAATCTTAACAATCTCCTTCAAGATCTCTCTCCAACTCCTACAGACCCCAGCGCAAGCAACCACCTCTCTCCTCCTCGGCCACGAGCTCTCCGACTCCTCGATCCTCGTCAGCACGTCCCTCAGAAGCTCTCGACGACGAGCGATGAGATCGAGATCGGAGCTTGACATCGAAACCCTTTCCCGAGATGCTCCCGATCTCGTCCCTCATGTCTTGGATTAGACTCCTGAACGACATCGAGACGGTTTTGATTTCGCGAAAAAGTTGAGATTTTTAGGGTTTGGGAGAAGACAAGGAGCAGTGCTGAGCAATATCATTCTCGTTGTCCGACAAGTCGTTTTTAGTCTGATCTAGTACTCTCTGTGTGATTTATCTCACAAAACCCCTTGACTTCAGACAATTTTGTATGAACTCCCTGAACTTTGAATATTGTAAAAATCCCCTGAATTTTACCTGAAGTTTTGAAATGCTTCACGAACTGAATTTTTTTTTTGTTATAGGTAAATTATCAAAGAAAGTATCTCCTGATTTTCTTCTACTTTTCTCTATCTGATTTATTTGCCAGCTAATCTTAGAATGATATTTCTCTTAAATTTAAGGTGGAACTTATCAAAAATTCAGAAAATTATTAAACTTCCCAAAGTTTCTTCCATTCTCAAAATTCATGGAGGTTATAAACAAAAATCTCAAAAACTCAATGTTTTCTTTAAAAATTTACCCCAAATCTACTCCTCTATCTACTCCTAAAATCCAAAGAATTATTGTTCATGCTATTGTAAAAATACTACAGTAACACTGTAGCATGGTAGTAAACCAAGTCTGGTCACGGTCGAAGTTATTATTTATGCTACAGTAGTTTACTGTTGCATAAATGGTAAATCAAATCTACTCCTCTATATTTAAAGTTACAATTCATGTTACAGTATTTTACTGTATCATAAATAGTAAAGCAAATTAAATGTATTAAAAACCTGGATCTTTTTTTAAGTATAAAGGTGTAGATATGATTTCTAAGTCAAATGTATTAAAAACCTGTATCATGCTTTAAGTATATAGGAGTAGGTACTATTTCTAATTTTAAGCATAAAATAATTAAATCAAATATATTAAAACTTAAATAAAAACAAGTTCAAAATGTAATGTTTAAAAAAGTAAGGGCCGTATTGCACACCAGTAACTTTAGAAATGGAAAGTGGTATTCGGATGCTTGGCCTTTTGGAAGGAATGAGGGCCCGCCACCAATTTTTAGATGCTCTGACTCAGCAACGTACTCTTTCTTGGATATTCGTTGCTGCAGGATAATCCATTTTCATTCAATGAAATTTTTCTTTTTATTTTCTTCTCTCTCTTTATAAATAAATTATGTAGTTATTACTCTACCCAAAAGGGAGGAGAGCAAAGTAATATTGGGATTTTCTCTCTCTATAAGTGAATGCATATCTATAGAGGGTGAGAAATAAGCAAGTGCTATTGTGAATGATCTTATTATTACAAAACTGTTACCATTTGTGTGCAAAAGCACAAGATTTTATTTAATATATTTTATCTAAGTAGATGTAATTATTCAATTATATACAAATGGCCAACATTGGTTTCCACTTCTTTTACTTCACAAAATAATAAACTTACGCTCTCATTTGGTACGCAATAATAGAGTCAAGTGATGATGGAATGAATATAGGAATAAGATGGAATTGATGTGAGAATATAATGATTATTCTCATTATCATATTTGGGTGGGATTCGAGAATTAAATGGGAATATTTTTAAGATTAGTATATCCGAATTTTATTTTATTATTTTCATTCCCACTCAAATGAGAATATCAATTCCTTAATAACTCATTGGGAATAGTCATTCCTACATTAAGTGGGAATCGACGAGAAGTAGGAATGACATTTCTAGAATCCAAAAATACATCTTGTTTGGTAAGCATGAATGAAAAGCTGGAATTGTATTTTATTCCCACTCATTCTCATGTACCAAACGAGACGTAATATCTTTCATGTTGGGTGAAAGTGAAACCTCTCATGAATACAGCTGCGCAAGAGATGAAACAATAAATAAATAAATGTGACATTTAATTTAATAAACATGAAAATGACAATATCCTAAAAAAATAAGTGAAAATTGCATGCTGTTCTTGAAATATCCTAAAAAAAATTTCTACTCAGAGTATAGAGCATACCTAGAACACAAACGTAAAAATTGAGTTATATATATATATATATAGGCAAAAATACCAAATTGGCATATTTTGTTTATTCTTAGTGGCAATTTGGTATAAAATTTTTTCCAACAACATATTGGTATATTATTTTTTCTCCAGCGACAAATAGACCTCAAATTTGGTAGGACTCAAATTTCTGGCGAAATTTTTCACGTGACACCTCAAGTGATGCGAACGTGGTTGCCAGCGTAACTCCCAATGACAAATAATTATAACTAATCTTATCCAAAACCATCACCTTCTCCCTAAAAACCTAGAAATCAATGTGCTAAAGCTCACTACATTGAGAGTCGAGGGAGGATTTGAAGAGGTTGAAGATCTGGGAGGCGTCGAAGAGGCAAGAGGAGCAGAGGAGGGAGGAGAGGGAGAGGTGAAGGAGGAGGAGAGAGGAGATTGAGGGGTTATGGTTTGAGATTGGAGCTGATTTATAACGCTGGAAGCCACTTTGCACCATGTGAGACGTCACGTGAGAAATTTCGTCGGAATCTCGTTTGTCATCGGAGAAAAAATAATATACCAATATGTCATTAGAAAAAAATATATACCAAACTGTCACTAAGGGTAAACAAAATGTACCAATTTGAATTTACTTATATATTATCATATAATTTATATTAAACTTATTAGAGAGAGAAGAGAGAGAGCCGAGGAATATGGATGCTTCGGTACAGCATAAAATTGCTTGTAGTGACACGTGGGCCTTTATTTATCTCACTCATTCAAATGAGGTGACACATTCCGGCTTCATAAATGTGGTCGCCCCCAATGATGATGGATGGGAATGGACACCCTCACTACAAGCATAAAATTTGGCTGGTACAAAGATACCCATTTCCAATATATATATAATATATAATTAATAAATTTATAATATAAATATTATATATATTATATAATGGAGACTTCTACTAATTTGAAGTGGTCAAAATGAACGTCTTCGCTATGATATTTAATCTTAACCCAAACCAAAAGGCCTACCAACTTATGTGTATAAAATATATTCGCGAGACATTTGTCCCTTCAGCATTCAACAATTGTCTTGTTTGATATTTTATAATTTTCATTTATTATTGCCATAGAATATTCGAAGATATTTTTAGCTTTGTTATAATCATCGAAAGGACAAAGAAAGGTAGGCGAAAGACACGAAACGTGAAAGTTTTGGAGTTTCTAAATTAAAGAATAAAAGTTTCAAATCATATACATGATGAAGTCATGCTGTGTCGCACACGTGTGCACAATACGTTATGATTTTCGTGCTGGACTTTAAAAAGCATCGTTTAAAAAAATCTCAAAAATTCTTGTTCCAAGAACAATAATTGAGAATCTGTCATATTTAGGAATTTGTATTTTAGCCCTCCCTTTTGGTTTATTTACAAAACTAAAGATACATAAATTTGGGGAAAATGCTAGAGGCACACCCTTAAACCACACCTCCAACCACACTCCTCTCTCACTACAATACACTGGGGCCCACATGAGAAAGATTAATGGAGGACTAAGTAAAACGTTTATTTAAAAAAAATGAGTGAGCTTCGACATCGTTTATATCTTGACAGCTTATTTAACAAAATAAGTAGCTAACTCAAAGTGCAGAAAACAAAAATAAAGGATATGAGAATACAAAAAAGCAAGAGGGAACTCCTTTCTAAAATATATTACCATCAAACAGAACAATACCCTGTACAGAGTTCTTAGTTCAACCCCAAGATGAACATCTACAGAAATTTTCAGAAACTGTACAGAGTTTTCTATAAATAATCGAAATGACTCAAATGATCAATTACAATGCAAAAGAGCGTAGAGATACAAGATGTTAGCCCTACATCAAATGGCAATAGACAGTCATGAACAAATTCTGCTACAGGAGAAGACAACTTTGCAACGAGGCACAGCCAAAAAAACATACAAAATCTCATGCACGTCGAGAAAAACATAAAAATGCAAGTCTTAACTGTTTTTACAACTAAATTTTGAATTTTCATTTGGAAATAAATTTCATACAATAAAAATAGAAAATGTAAAAATGAAAGATTTAACACAAATTTTCTGCAACAAATAGCATTCCAAATCTTTTTACATGCAACAATTGCCACATTTACAAATGACGCATAGCAAACACCCGACAAATTGCACCAAAGTTTTCTGCAAATAGTTGACATAACTCTAGAATCAAAACCTGTGGCATATAAAAAAAACAAAAAACAAAACAAAACAAAAGATGCAAATACAACAGTTTTTCCAACTACCAAAACTGGATTTGCAATTGGAATACATTTTCCTGCAACAAAAATGTATATATCCAAACAACAAATTTAGAACTACTTTCTAATTTTCTGCAACGAAAAATGCATGCATCATTTGCTGCATTTATAATTGCAACATACCAAACAACCCCAAAGAAATTGCAACAAAGTTTTTTTTTAATAAATAATTGAAACAACTAGAGTAATGTCATACAATACAAAAAAAATTTAATATACAAGATGCATCAAATCCCTAAACATAGCATCATGCACCACTCATTGGTGGTCTAGAACTCACGATCTCTGAAGGGAAAATATATTTTACATATGGTTGAAAGAAAACTATGTTACAAGAAAGAGATGGAATACAACAATGCAACCAGATACACCCAAAAATACATACAAAATCTCCTATAGTTAGAAAAGATCCTGCACTCCAATATATCAAAAACCCAGATTTGGGTTTCCATGGCACAGGTTTTTCCCTTTTCCTATTTTCCCATCTCTTCAATGGAATCCCGTACATGCACGCTTTGTTCTGTTGGTGATCCAGGCACAAAAGGAACAAACCCCCTTCCCCCAAAGACAGGGCGCATAAAGCCATCGTCAAACTTGCGCCAATAGTAATGTACAGTACGACTTGGCTTCCTTAGAAACATCTGAAGGCTTGAAGGACGAATAATATCCCGCCCCTGTCCTTCTGCTTCAGGTTCGAATCCTGGTACATTCTCAAGGAGTGGTGATGAGAGTTTCGGGGTTCCAACATCTGATGTGAAGCTTTCTGTAATCCTTGAGCTCGGAGGCAAGAGAAGATTTATCAAAGGCTTTGTCAGCATTCCGAATACCTAAGGTAACATAGCATGGTCAAGAAAAGAAGAAAAATGTAAGAGTTACATGGTAGTTTATAATCTTCATGGAAATAAAGATATACTTAAAGATGCACTGTTGGAGCAAACTACAAATGTTTTATTTTAGGCTTGCTCAGAATGAATAGCAGAGAAAGGAAATAATCAAAAAAGAGAAGAACATGGGCTATCCTCCTACATCACAGCCATAAATACAAAGATGCATATATGTATGTAGAAAGCATATGTGAAACTTTCTGTTATACTCTCTGCATTTGGAGGTGATAAAAGCCTTATTAACAAAATTTTCAGCATATCGAGAACGGAGTACCTAAGGCAATATAGTGTTGTCAATAAAAAATATGCTTAAAGTTAGGTAGTTAAAACTGCAAGTATTTGAACTTTTTAGGCTCGCTCGAAATGAAAATTTTAGCTTTCAATTTACCCACAGCATGCAAGAGAAGAACGTGAAGCAAGTTTATTAAAATTGGGGTAAATTATGGATACCCACCCAAACACTCCCACCCATATATAGCTTCTGTACCCCTCAACACTTTTATTAGCACTTATCAACCCTGGATTGGCATTACGAAAGTATAAATTACAAATAATTGCCCTCTTCCTCATAAAGCAATGAGTGATAAGTTGAGGGATGATAAGCACTAATAAATAAGTCTAGGGATGATAAGCACTACTGAAGGTACAAATGACGGGGTTACCTGCTATATACCCTTGAAACTATTACCAATATAAAAATGGGGTTTTTGCATATATACCCCTCAAGTCATTAAACCTTAGCATTTGCAAAATTACCCCTCAATTCTCTCACATTGGTTTTTTTGTACCCCTCCCACTTAACATTTATAGTTTTTAAACAGGAAAATGTTGCAAATCTATTGAAAATTACTGGAAATTTTGACATTGCCCTATTAGAAACCAACATTGTTAAGTTGGAGGGGTAGAAAATCCCAACACACATGAGTTTTGGGGGTAGTTTTGCAAAGACCAAGATTTGGAGGGTAAATTAGCAAATATGGAAGATTTGAGTGGTAATATGCAGGAAAAAATTGAGACAATAATCAGATATATTCATGGTAAGATTTTAGTCAATGAAACCTACAGCAAAGCTGTGATCATGGATTGTCCTCCTACATTTAAGGCATGCATATGCATATGTGTGTAGGAAACATATATAGAGATACAGGAGTCACAGCCTGAAGCATCATACCATTGTGCTGAAGAGGACAACTGTGATGGTACTGGTGATCATGATTGCATTGCCCAATAGTTGAGTGTGACCGGAGCTTGTAAACTGCAAATATTCATTTAAGCTTGATTTGTCAGATAAAGTAGACTATAACTACTGCAGAAATTAAAATGTCTTCACTTGTAAAACTTTTCATCTAAAAATTATATAGGATAATTGGACTATTGAGCATGTGCAATGCTAATTTACTTATGTTCATGGACATTATTTTGCAATCACTAAAAGAGCCATGCTCCTTAATTTTGCAAAATAGAAACTTGAAAATGAAGAGCAATTCCAATAAAGAACTAATGCACATTCATACATAAACCTCGCTTTGGGCAAATTTTTTCAAAATCCATTTACAATAAACTAGGGATCATTATTTTTTAATTTAACACTTAATAGAAAAATGTGACTAATAAAACTTAGATAAGTACCAGTGTACACAGAAAGGGCGCATCGAGGAGCATTAACTTTTTAGTGAGTAAATTTCACAAATCCCCCTGAACTTAAGTCCCCTAAACTTTGGGAATTTCATACAAAACCCACTAAGCTTCATAAATCTTAGAAACACCTCAACCTTGTCTCATTTAAGTACCATGATTAACAGCAATACTGTAACCGTTGGACAAGTTTACCCTCTCCACTAAAATATAAGGGTTTTTTTTCCTAGAAACCACCTAAAGAATAGGGTAATTATACGGAAATTTCCTTTCATTTCCAATTTATATATAAACCATCTTTAAAGTTGGTTTTTGCTGCAATAAACCACCTCCTAGACAATTTTTCACTAAAACCTCAAAATTACCCTTAAAACTCACATTCAAGGCACGTGACTCATTTCTTATCGTTTAGGTCTTGTTAGGACACAACTCGCATACATTCAACTTGAATTTTTAAGCTTATTTTTTGTTTTTGGTAAAAATTTGATTGGAAGATGGTTGATTGCAATAAAAATTTACTTTAAAGGTGGTTAATGTATAAATTAAAATTGAAAGGTGGTTCACATATAATTACCCTCTTTTTAAGGTGGTTTCTAGGG